TTGTGTTTGAGCCTGAATCCACCTGAGGTGTTGAGAAAAATCTCTATACATTGAGTTATAGGGATTTCAACTCAACATAAGAGTCTAGCCGAATCAAAATTATAATTTCATTGAAGAGAAAACAACAATAAAACCAATAATAAATTTAAAAGTCTAGCTAAATCAACATTTTTATTTCATTAATAATGAAAACAATAAGAATAACTATAATTTAATAATAAATCCCCCTTCACATTTCATAATAATACATATAGGAAAAGAAGTTTCACTTCAGTCGTGTGGTCTAAAACATGTTATTAAAATCTATTAAAATAAAATAACTATATTTTGAAATTACATTGGCATTTCAAATTAATATTGGAATTATCGAACTAGGAATTATTTGAAATTTTCAAACATCTTATTCAATTTTTCAAATGGTGTACCACACATGGTATATTGCTATTCGAAATAAGTTGAGAAGGGAGCTGGAGGCGTACGGAGGATCAAGTTACGAGTGTCACTTGAACACTAATAAAAGTCCCTGAAAACTTTTTGTTACAGATCTGGTAAATTTTTTATATTTCTGTTCGTTTTGGAGAATGCCAAATTATCATTGGAAACCCCTGTTTTTAAAGGTAGGTAGTACATGTAGGTAGAAATTACGCGCAAATTCAACTGAGCTTGTTTATTTAAAGAAACTCGGATCGGTTAGACTATTGAACTCTTTGGAAATTCCGTCTTGTGAATAAAACCAGACCTGCAGGTATTCAGTATGAAAACAGGTGAGCTACACACGTACAGTGGCCCACGATCATGCGAAGTTTCTTGTTAATTACTTTCAGTCTCCTCCCCATTATAGCAAGAGGTGAGTACTAACATCACGTATCGTCTATTCACGATTTCGTCTTCGTAAAATTATATTTCAAAAAAATTCATATGGGTACTGTAAAAGGTGAGATGAATATTTAAGACATTATAATCCAAATAATCAGTTGAAAAATTAAATATAGGCCACTAAAGTGCAAGAAAAAACAAGTTACTTCAACACAAAAAATTAAAAAACATTCTCATTTTCTACATATTGGTTTTAGGACTTACTGTACTGTATTTACATTCTTTTACTAGATAATGTAATGATTGTATCCGATCATTTCAGGTGATTGAAACTACACAAGATTTAATCATCTGATCGTAGATCATGGTAATGTTTTTAGAATATAAAATGTTTCAATCTGATATTACCAACTGAGTAAAGAATGTAATACCATAAGATGGTTGACTTTGTGGGTAAGCTCATTTTTTAAGACAATTTTTCTCAAATTGGCATATTTTTCACGTACAACTATGTAACATAAGGGTAACGCCCTGTTACCTTGTTACCAAGCCCTCTAAATATGTGAGTTAGTTTATATAAATTCAATAACATTATTCAATTCAGAATCACAAATGAACACTGTACTTTCATTACACTTCATGAATATCACGCTAAGTTTACCTGTTTTGCTCTATAAGTACTCAGTTGTAGTTCTTGGTGAAATGATAGTCTCAAACCTCAAGATCATATGATGAGATGTGGAGAATGGTCACCAATTACTATACAATTTAAAAAATTTAGACTGACAAAATGATAAAGTTTTCACTATAAAATTTTCATTTCATTAGGTTAGGTCAAAAGTGAGTGGGTCTATTCGCCTCTCCACCGCAAACTGTAAGGGTTTATTCTGGCTCACACAAATTCAGACTCGACCAAATAAAGCCAGCTTCTTAACGAAGGCGAAAAGTTTATATGATGAGTTATCTTTCAGGTCAGATGGTAAGAGTGCGGCTCTGCCAAACTCTGAAAACCTGATTCTGTCCGCAGTGGGGCAGGTACAAAGTATGTGCTCTGCTCTTTCATCTTTCTCCAAACAGAGGTGACATACACTGTCTTCCGACAGTCTGAATGCCTGCATATAATGATTCAAATGATCTGTGAGAAGGTGTTTTTGATCCATCTGCGAATCAACAACTATCTATTCTTAATATTTTCTTCTCCCGGAGGATGCAGTCCTCTCTACTCGGGAACAATACTTTATAAGACAGTTCGTAGTTGACAGTTGGACGCATAAAGTGAGATATCATTTCCAGAATGCTGTGACTTCCAGTGTCAACCAACAGTCTATTGCACTCTGCATTAAATTGATTTGTGCGATTGGCAATGTGCACAAGTCTATATGCAGTCCATCTAGCCTCTATCTCCAGAAAATTATGGAGAGGAGGTAGATCTAGAAGGATCTCCATGGCCGATGATGTTCTGATAGTGATGGCCAGACAAGCCTGTCTCTGTAAGCCAGAGAGCTTCGCCTGAGCCGTTTTTTGTGAAGCCTTCGGCCACCAGGCAATTGCTCCATAAGTGACAATCATTACATGAATCCAATGGATTTGTTTGGAACCTAAACCCCAAATTCTACCACAAATTCTTCGACATGTCCATAAGGATAGTCTGGCTTTGTGTAAAACTTTTTCCAAGTGAGCGTTCCAGGTGAGGTTTCATCAAGACCAATTCCAAGATATTTCACCTCCATTCCAAATGGAATGACCTCACCATTGAGGGAATGTGGCTTTAAAAGGGTGGAGGGGATTATCACAGTTTTGCTGGGGTTGACAGACATCTGCTCCCTCAGGCGCCAACTGTAAACAACGTCCATCGTGCTTTCGAGCATATTACTAGCTACCCTTTTCGACGTGGACCTTGCCAAGATGACAAGGGCATCTGCATAAGCTTGCAGATTTACTTTTCCTCTGTCGAGGTCATCAAGCAGAGCGACCACAGAAGGGAAGATAGTACCCCACCTTGAGGGCAGCCTCTGATGACCCTGAACCTAATGGCCTTGCCTTGAAGAGTCGTAAATGCAGTTCTGTTTACCAGCATGGCATAAATCCAGCCAGTTATGGTCGATTCTATACCTTTCTATACCGATTCTATACCGCAATATCTACTGTAGTCGAATAGCTGTTCGATTTCAACCTTCGAAGAGTGAATGAACGCCTTGGCGTAAACCAATCCTGGACTCGCCATCCAGGTGTTCAATATTTTTTTGGCAAATCCTAAAGCGATGCCAATGTCAGGTTCTGGCCGATGAAGCTGCTTGCAGCAAACTCCTCTGCAAGGGAGTCAGCAGCCTCATGCCTTCCAGTATGGTCAGGAATCCAGACCAGAGACAATCTGTTATGTCTTCCTATCGAGGAGAGCCCGTTTTGGCCATTTGCTACCAATTTAGACGTTGCTCGGTGGGAGCCAAGAGCTTTCAAAGCTGCTTAACTATCCGAAAATATTTTTATTGACTTGTGCATGAGGTTGGATTCTACCAAAATTTCCGTTCACCATTCAATAGCATAGATTTCCGCTTGAAATATAGTCGCATAGGTCCCAAGGCAGGTTGATATCTCTGTCCTGGGTCCGCGACTGAAAACACTTGCACAGAACCAACCCAATAAAATGATCAAAATCATGAGTAATTTTTCAGAATCAGAACCTTGCACTCTAACGACAGGCATTAACGGAAAATGTATAAGTATTCAAGAATGTGACTATGCAATTTCTCTGTTACAAAGAGGACAGCGTCCTGAAATATGTGGCTTCGATGGTAACAATCCCCGTGTCTGCTGTCCCGAACTTGTGTCCAACGCAGGAGGTAGAAAACCAGGGGAATTGAGTGACTTGAGTAAGTAATATACAACCGTTCATATAATGAATATATGCTGTTATTTATGAAAAATCAATTTGATAATCAATGACTACATGTAGAAAAAAAACAGTGTGAGCCATATTTCTGCTTGTTTGGAAAAGAATATATAAGGAAATTTGCCATAAGTAATACATCACTTGGGGAATAGGGATGAAGCATCGGGAAGAAGGGTCCCCAGAGTTCCATTTTAGCGGGAGATGACCGTTTGGCGGGAGTTGGTCGTTTTCCGCTTGATTGGAGGTTTCCATACGTTACGTATCTCTACACTAGCTTGGCTAAATGCGTTGATGGACAACATATACGCGGCTTCTTTGATTTTTCTCCTAAACCAGTGTTCCTCCTTGTGGATGATTTCAGCTTGAGCCCACTTGATGTTATGTTGATGAGTCCAAACATGCTCTGCTATTCCGGATTTACAGGTTTCTCCTCGCTGTGTGTGTTTTTTGTGCTCAGCAATGCGAACTTTCAATGGCCTCTTAGTTTCACCGATGTATGATTCTCCGCACTCGCGGGGTAACCGGTAAATGCAATTCTAGGAATCGCAGTCCGCGTTTGGTGGCCTGGTTTTCGTGAGGCTGCTACGGATAGTGTTTCCAGATCTGAAACAGGTCCAGATGTTATACTTGGACCCAGTCCTTCTTACCCTTTCCGATAATCCTTCAATGTAGGGAAGTACAAGTACTGGTTATGGCGACTTCTCTTCCTTGTGGAGCTCTTGCTGTCTTTTAGCTGAAGCCTGTTCTATCATCACTCTGGAGTAACCATTCCGTTGAAGATCATTTTTCGACTTTGTCGATTGATGTTGGTTGGATTTCTGGTCCTGTGTGAGTGGATTTTCGATATACAGATGTTTCCCATTTAGTGTCGGTCCTCTTCACCAATACATGTAAAAAAGGCAATTCGTTGTGGACTTCCTTCTCCAATGTGAAAGTGATGATGTGCTTCAGGAAAGTGTCTAGTTCTGCATTCCCAGGTTCCATATTATGAAGGTGTCGTCTACGTATCTCAACCAGACTCGGGGTTTCTTGTGGGCTTCTTTAATAGCCAGAGTTTCAAACCACTCCATATATATATTGGCTATAACAGCTGAAAGTGGCGATCCCATTGGAGTCCCTCATCAGGAAGTCCTAACTAATGAAATACACCACGAAACATTGTCAACCAGCTTCAAACAAATGGAGAAAGTAATCTACAAAACTTGATATTTTAGGCCACATCAATACTGACCCTACGTTGAATACAATGAAAATATTTACAGTTTCTATCATAAACCGTACAAACAGTCGAATACTTTCGAATCTTATAGATTTCACTGGTATAAAATAAGAGGATTGAATCTAACCCCATCGTAGTGATACAAATGATAATAAACTAAAATTTCACGACTTCAACGACATTTTTCAACGTCATCTATGAAAAATCGGTTTTATTTCCTTTACATTAACTCATAACAAAAAACCTTTGAGAACTATCACAAATCATTTTCAGTGGTCCTGCTAGATGGGTACGACTCGGAGACTTAGATATATCAACCAACACCGATGGCACAGAATATCAACAAATCCGTGTCAAGAGAGTTATACCCCATCCAAAATACAGAAGCCCCTCCAAATATCATGATATAGCATTGTTGGAGTTAGTAACCCCAGCAAAGTGGACGATTTTCGTAGCACCAGCTTGTCTGGACAGTAATCGAACTCACGACGAAACAAAAATGATAGCAACCGGTTGGGGTAAAACAAGTTTCGCAGGTGAATTCAGTAATCATCTCCTAAAAACCAACCTAGATGTGGTACCAGTTGAGCAGTGTCGGGAATCATTCAAAAATATTAACAGAAGTGAGCTGCCAAACGGAATCGATGATGAATTGCAAATATGTGCTGGAGGAGGTCCTATTCATGACACCTGCCAGGTTGGTACAATCGATGATTGTCATCTCAAAAATTGTTATCCAAATCTTCCAAATAACTGGTTTTGAGTATTTTATAAGAGCAACTTGTTTAGTTCTTCAAGCATTTCATACACTTTCAGTGCTTTTAGGAATTTGCGAAAAAATTAATAAGTTGAAACAACACATTTCAGATAGAACAAAATGGATAGTGACCCAGTTTCTTTTGTTGCAGGCGACAGTGCTAGTTCTGTTTGAAGGGTCTCTCTTATAGGTGTATGCCTCAACAGGTCCGGGTATAGTTTACAATAGTTTTGTGTGGTTGGCTTCACACAATTTTTCTCATTCTTCATCAGTTCTACATTGATCATAATAATAATTCATTTATTTTTAATAGGGTTGTTGAAGAAAATGCTTTTCAATTTGAAGTTGCTTATTGAAGTCGGTGTTGCTACTATTTTATCAAATTTAAGATGATTGAGAGTACAGTGTTTAACTGTTTTTCTGTTTTTTCGGTCGTGGTCTGCAGATATTTATGATTGACATTTCTTCTGCAATTGCGGTATATATTACTGCTCTAGTTATCCTCACAGTACGAATCAATATGTATGATTTGATCTCACAGCACAAACTCGGCATAGACATAGCTTATAGTATGAAGTGCCGTCAGGCATAAAAACTTGTAGACCACGGCCACCAAACTTGAAAAATAATTTTGACAGGGTTATTTCAGGCGGTGGAAATTTGCACTCTTCGATAATCCATTACTCTGCGGAAGCGGAAGCATTCTGTTCAACACAACAGAGTTTATTTATTGAATAACTCAGGAATACCTAGTGATACCCATATTATTTTCAGGGAGATTCTGGAGGACCGCTTCAAGTTATCAGCAAACACAAAACTGTAGAAACAGTATACGTTGTAGTAGGAGTTACTTCTTTTGGAAAGGCGTGTGGTATCTCACCAAGTCCAGGTGTTTATACACGAGTTTACAGTCATTTATCTTGGTTAGAGCAGACCATATGGCCATATGGTTAGAAAACCCACCGGAAGTAATTACAAGAAGGACGATCTTGTGATGATTTTCAAGATGGCTATGAAAATGATATGATTTTGAATAAAGATAATTCCCGGATGGTGTGATTTTATTCTTAATACCAATTCGAAATCTTTTGCAAGATTATGTGTATCTTTTAAGGGCTGAATCCTGAATATTGTTTTATATTTCGTCATAAATCGCATTTATCAAAACATTGAAAAGTGCATCGATACTATATCATTTGGTTTTTTTGGGTCTTTCGGTTCTGGAAGCTTTGGTTTTATCAAATTCTTCTCGGGTTTAAACCTTCTTTAATTTTTTTTCACGAATTGCTTTCAAAAAGCATTTATGGTGCCAGTACTGGTGCCAGAAGATAGTTGTGATACCGAACTGGAATAAAATGGATTCTCACATTCGAGACCTGAAGTACAACACGATAAAAACACAAAAGATGAGCAATATACAGGAATTTGATATTGTTACGAGGGATTTAAAAAATAAATCATTCAGAATTTTCCACACAAATATTCGAAGTATCTCGAAAAATATAGATGAAATTAATGTCCTTTTAGAACAATTCAATGAAAAAGTTGATGTAATTGCACTCACAGAAACGTGGAAAATTCCGAACTTGATTCTTTTCCTGGTTATTTCTTTTGTGGCGATTGAGATACCAGCCAGTTCTGTTTGGACCACACTGGTATTTTTTCCCATTCCCCACTCAGGCCTAGTGATCTGGAGTACACTCCACATCCTGAGCCTTCTTTGGTTTTTGAGCCGTCTGTATATATGCGTATTGCACTTGCAGCGTCTGACTCTTGTGTTCTGTTTCATTTGTATTGTATAGGGTTTACTCAACACAAATCTGGGTTCAATTGCATCACTGGTTGCCTGCAGCAGAGGTTGCGCAGTAAGCGCTTCTCGCCATAGGCCCAGCTTCAGTTGACCCATTCCTACTTCGAAGTTTACACCAGCCGTGCGCAATCGAACCATGGTCATTAACGCAACCTATTAACGTACAGATCCAGAGGGGTCAGGCCCGTAATTAATTCCATTGCCGCAGTTGGTGTTGTTCTAATGGCTCCTGTGATGTTTAAACAAGCCATTCGCTTTATTTTATACAATTTTTGGATGGCCGTTGCTTGTAGAACTCTCGGTCTTCATGCAATGGCTTCGTACGTTAACATAGGTCTTATTATTGCAGTGTAGATCCAGGTGACTACACGGGGTGAAAGACCCCATGCGCGTCCCCCTGTCCGACATTGCTCATAAGCCACATAATATGTGACAAAAAGAGCATATTATGCTCTTTTTGCTCTGCTCTGTAGGTGAGAGTTTCATGTTAGCTTCCTGTCGAATATAGTTCCGAGGTATTTCACCACTTCAGAGAAGTTTAGTTTGCTTTCGAAGATTTCAGGAGGTTTTGAGCCCGATAAACTCCTTTTCCTGGTGAAAAGGACCATCTCAGTCTTTTTGGGATTGATAGACAGTGACTGTTCCTCACACCATGTTTCTATTAATTTGAGCCCATCCTGCGCTCTACCGCACAGTGTGTTCACAAACATGCCGGTCTGCATAGTTATCTGCTTATGTCATCTGCATATGCAATTGCATAGAATCCATTATTGTTGAGGTGATTAATCAGGGTATCCAGAACTTTGTTCCAAAGAAGGGGTGATAAGACCCTTTGTGGACATCTCCTCATGACCAGTCCTCTCACTGTGATTTCTTCTACATTGATACTTATTGCTCCACTTGAGAGCATCTTGAGTATCCATTCTCCTACTACCAAGGGTACATTCCTGAAGTGTAGTTGCTGGGTAATTGTTGAAAAGGTTGTTTCATCAAACGTTTCCTCGATATCTATGAATATACCCCAGGGTGGATTCTTTGTTTTTCACTTTCATATAAAAATTGAATTACAGAAAACAGTTTTCTCTATTCTGTTTGTATTCCAAACTTTCATTATGGAATCTTGTGAATGATATCTGATTCAATTCCATAATGAATGTTTGGAATACAATCTGAATAGAGAAAGGTGATTTTTGTATAATACAGTGTTCATATAAAAGTATTTTCCTTTCGTGCAATTCAATGTTTATCTGAAAATAGTTGTTTCGAGAAGGGGTTTTCTTCCAGTTTGTGTTTCAAAATTACTTCTTTGCATGATCCACACATCTTTGTGGAGAATTTATTTTGAAATTAATTGTTTCCTNAAAGAGGAATAACTTGAAATTGATTGCCTCCTTTCTTTCTTTGGAAGATTATCAATATGGAGTAGTAGAAAGCCATAACCTCTGTTTCCCAAAAATTAATCTCTCTTAAACATATACCGCTTTCAATTTAGACAGTGTATCGTTTTGACGCTTGCATAACCTATCTATTCAACTACCATGAATGGCATTGTTACCTATAAAGTAATAATTCCCACTAACGACTTTTGTTCCAAATATGATCTTCAGGTACCAGGGACCATTTAATCAAAATTCCAGACCATAAACAAGAAACTGAAAACACTGTAACAATAATAGTAAATAACTGTTACAAATGACAGGGTGACTTGTCGAGAACAAAAAAAATAAGACTTGAACCTAATAAGCAACCTGGAGAGGCTCAAAACTCAAAATAGGTTTGATCGAATTCCGACAAAAAAACTTTTACAGCGCAAATCACTGCTGTTCATTACCTTAAAGTTCAACTTACAATCATTTTGTAAAATTCCATTTGAAGAACAGCGTGGAATGTACTTCCGACAAAGTTTTTCCAGACCAATGTTAATTGCTTTTTTCGCACTGTATATAAACATGATTTTTTTGAAAATTTCAGGCTCTCGTGGGTTATGGACGTCAGGAGAATGACATCCAGTGGCTGTGCGGTGGTTCCTTAGTGAGTCTTCAGTTTGTACTAACTGCAGCCCATTGTCTGAATGCTGGGATCTAGTAAGTGTCAGCTTGGATGCATGTTGAATGGAAAATATTATACGTATAAAATCAGCAATACATTCGATATGGATATCCTTCAAAACGTTTCGTAGATACTCCTCAATATTCTAGTATAACTGCACTAGGCAGCAATCGAAAATTGTATTAATGAAGCTTTATTTCAATAATCCCAGCTCGGGGATTTAATGTTTTCAGCACATGAAGCGTATCACATATTTCTTACTTTCTTGAATTGTCTCTTCCAAAAATGCAATGCTGGACTCTTGAATATCATTCAACTAAAATACGGTTCGTATTTCTCTGTTTTATCAATCATAACAATTTCTTGTGACAGAACCCTTCATATTACATGAACTGGTAGAACAAGAAATACCTACTCCTTATCTTATATTATCTCACTGTGTTCTAACGTCTTCATCTGTTCTTTCTGTGTGCAACCTATCAGAATTCAATATGTGGAAAATGCCTGATGCAGAATTTTTGCAAAATCCCATCACTAGGGTGAATAAGTTATCCCAAAACAGTCTCCAAAATATTAATGAAAAAGCAGTGTTTTTGAAAGAGGTAGACGTCAAAAACTTTGAAAACAATTCAAAATGACATTCTGAAGGGGAGTTCCGTTTCCGATATGGTGGTGGACGGACATGTCGATAGCGACCGTCCATAAAGAAGGTACGCGGACGCCATTGTTGGAGACGGAAATTATTTCGTGTTGTGAATGTCCATCGTTATATAACGAGCCAGCATCAATTGAATAAAAAGTGTTGAGGGTTAAAATAAATATGTAGTACTCCCATTCACGCCGGTTGGAAGCCGGGGTGGACCAGATGTCCACGTGGAAGTGCTAAAGCAGAATAAATTCATATAATACCTGCTCCCATTCACGACGGTTGAAGGCCGGGGTGGACCGGATATCCACGTGTGAGTGCTAAAGAGGAATAACTTTATATAATACCTGCTCCCATTCACGCCGGTTCGAGGTCGGGGTGGACCGGATGTCCACGTGGGAGTAGGATCGCAACAATAATCTTTATGAAGCAGACAATAGTTTATATCCAAGCACAGTAGACCCTATTTGGGACACAGAATTGTGAGCTGCAAGACAGTCTTTGTCACTCTGCACGTCGTCTTGAGTTCAATCGGGATGGAGCCCAGCTAGCTCCCTTACCCTTTCGGCTGGCTTTTGTCGAAGAAGGGCAAATATGTTCATGACTGAGGGGATGGCGGTATGAAGTCCTCAGCCATCAGTACCGCCCTTCACGAGATACCCCTACCTGGCTGGGGTGGGATGGATGAAAAAGCTGTTCGTCCATTAACGGGGGACATGAGGGCCTCATTCGATAGAGTGTCGGGACCTTCTATATCGAGAGGGGTCGTCTACAGCATAGTCTATAGCTTCCCTAACAAATGGATTTTCGTGAGTTTCCGCACCTCCGAAAACTCGCCGATTCTTCGACTGAATAGACTGCCGAATGGAAGGCAGCTGCAAATCTCTGCAGATGGCTTCATTCCGCATGAACCAAGGAGCATTCACAATCATCCTCATTAGTTTATTTTGCAATACCTCCAGAATGGAGATATTATATTTTGCCGCTTGTTCCCAGACGCCTGAAGCATACATGATGGCAGGCTTGAACATCATGTTGTAGATGGTAATCTTGTTTTTCAGGCTCATTTTCGACTTTCTGTTTATCAGAGGGTACAGACTTGCAATCCGACCCTCGATCCTAGATTTGAAGTACATAATATGCGGGTTCCAAGTGAGCCTTCGGTCTATTAGAAGGCCGAGGTACTTTACCCGCACTTGCCAGTCAATCTCCCTTTCAGAGATTCTCACTTTTCTGGCCGGAGAAGATAGCAATCTTTCGATAGTTATCGCCTGAGTTTTGTCCGGGTTTACTCGGATCTTCCAATCGAGGTACCAGCGCTCGAGGTCGTCCAATGCACGTTGCATGTGTACGACACCGAGCTCCCGACCCATGGAAGATGAGAGGAGAGCCGTGTCTTCGGCGTACAGGGATATCTTCACACGCTCGGACCTTGGGAGTTCACTGGTGTAAAGAGAATACATCGTCGGAGAGAGCACAGCCCCCTGTGGCACTCTAGCGAGGATCTCTCTGTTGTCAGACAGAGAGCCCTCTACTCTAACCTGAA